TTTTGAACTATTTTTGCATAGACAAAAGCACAAAGCAGTGATAATCATTAATAGGCAATCGTTCGATGGGCTGAATTGCACAAAACGCATGGTCGCACCGGGCAGTCTGGTGCGCGTTGCTATTTATTCTAGTTATTTGTTAGCTCATCTACTCCGTGGTTCTGTCGTTGTGTGTGTTCTCGATGTCCCTTAAAGCTGATCGGCAGTTTTTCGCAACCTGCTCAATTTTGAGCTTTTCCCTCCTCCGTTTCTTTTTGAACCATCTTGATAGCACTCTCCTCATTCTTGTAGGTAGGTGATGGTTAAAAAAGCAGTTTTTTGCAACAACAGCAGTCCCTCCTCCTTCATATCATTCTGAATTTTCAGGGTCTAATTATTTTGTGCGTGTTCTTTCAATTCTGGATCGTGAACTTCTGAAACCGGGTTGCAGTGTGGCATTACACAAGTACAGCAATGCCCTTGTTGATGTGCTCCCCCCAGAAGCCGATTCCACCATTCAAATGTTGCGTGCCGATGAAAAACCCGACGTACGTTTGCCGGCACAGTCGACTTTTATTAGAAATTTTTAGTTATTTTTATGTTTTCTGATGTGTTGCAAAATGGTGCAAACATAGCGTGACAGACGTGATCATCTTTCAAACGCAGATGATCAGACAAGCTTTAAGCAAACAAAAAACCCATTATCAGTAAAGGACTTTCCCATTCATGAAGCTGATGCTTAGGTAAAGCTGAAAGCGAATAAGGTAAAGCTGTTGTAGGTAAATATCTCAGCAGTTTAGCAGTGTCTAGTTTTAACTTTTGTTTTTATCATAATACTCTTCGTTCATTTGACGCATCTGGCAATGTTTGCTTGATTGATTTGACGAAACATAGTAACCTAATCAATCTGCTGGCAGTCCTAACGTTATTTTCCCCTGTGCTAGATGTATCTCAGAAGTGTATCTTACCTCCTTGCAGAGTTTATGATGAATTAACTGTGATAGAACTGGCGATCGCTCCTGGCTTTCATGTTTTTGTTCGAAGTTTCAGGTTTCTTATGCTGATATAGGAGGGCTGGATATGCAGAAGCAGGAAGTACGTGAAGCAGTTGAGCTACCGCTCACCCATGGAGAGCTTTATCAACAGGTAATTGTCTTTAATTTTTTTGTTAGTACGTATATTAGCCTTTTCTACTAATTGTTTCAGGTGTGTGAATTATTTTGGGCATAAAGAAAGGGGGGGGGAGGAGAGGGGAACGGGGAGGGGGAGAAAGGCCGTTATCAGTAAAGGACTTCCCCATTCATGAAGCTGATGCTTAGATAAAGCTGAGAGCGAATTACGTAAAGCTGCATAGGTAAATATCTCATCAAGGAGGAGGAGGGGGGGGACGAAGGGGTGTCAGGGAGGAAGGGGAAGAAGGGGGGTGGTGATTATTCCGGTAAAAATGGATATTTTGCAAAATTGATTCCAGTGGTTTTGTATTTTGAATGTAGTTTGTTTTTATAACATTCGGCCGGATGCGGTACACATA